ACTTGACTTGAGACTTGAGGATAAAGACTTGAGACTTACTTGAGACTTGAGGATAAAGACTTGAGACTTACTTGAGACTTGCAAAACAATGACTTGGTCCCACCTCTGTGCAGTTCATCTGCAGTCTAGTGTTACCTACATCTTCCTACTCGGAAGGCAGAATTTCCGAGTTCTGAGTACAATTGAAAGCACCACGACTGCAGTTTTCATTTTGGATGTTTTTCTTTCCCCAAGCCTTGTCTGTCCTGTGTGTAGCAAGTGAAAATAAAATTTTAAAAAAAAAGAAGAAGAAGAAGAAACAATGCCCATGTTTCGGAAAAAAAAAAGTGGTCCTAACGGTGCGTTCACACTGATAGACGTGACCAGAACGTCAGGTTTACATGTAAAGTCAATGGAGAAGCGCGATGACACGCAACTTGGGGTCCCGCGAAAATTCAGAAGCAGATTTGCGTCACGAAAACGTGCGAATAAAAATATGCGCGTCAGTTTGTGTGGTGAATTTTGTGCATTCGCACGTATCGCATCTACCGCTTGAGTTGGAAACATTTGAACTCCAGCGTCAATTCGCGCAGCGACAACCAATCAGGAGCCTGGTGACGTGGCTCTGACCTAGTTCAAAGGGGCAGGTCCAGCCAAAGCCCTTTATTCTTCATTCAATATGAAGGAAAGGCTAATAAACGCGGTTGCAGACCACCCGGAGCTGTACGACACTGTTACGGCCCGGCTCTGCTAGGCGACAGAGGATATAACATAAATGAGCCCAGAGGCAGGAGGGTTAGATAAAAAGAAAAACAGAAGATTTATTACTACAACTGAAAACCGTTAGTGAAACAACTCACTAGGCAATGGGGTGTCTTAAACAAACGAAAAAACCTCATATATTCAAATAACACTAGTGGAACACAAATCATCTAAAAATCAGTAACTAATTACTGATTACTTCCCCAAAAAAGTAATCCCGTTACTTTACTGATTACTTATTTTCAAAAGTAATTAATTGCTTAGTTACTTAGTTACTTAGTTGCTTTTTAAAAACACGATTTACAACCTGAAGAGGTGATAAAGCGATAGATCTTTCAGTCCATTTCTACTTTTTCTACATAATCCATCATACAAAATGTAATCAAATGGAAAAGTCACTTTTTTTAAACTTGTTTTATCAGTTTTAATCTTTTAACTTTATGCATCAAGCAAAAATTTAATTATATGCAACATTCTCTGACTTTAATAAATTAGATTAACATTTAAACCCATTTTCTACACATTCCAGCACATAAAATAAAGTATCTTTTGTGTTTACATTCAGTCTTTCAAATAGATGCAAGTAAAACACAGCAGAAAATAAATAAAGTCAAAGACTCAGCGGTCCTGTTGCTCTATTTTCACCTGTAAAGCAGGACTGCGGTAGGCGGAGGTTTACCCTGGTGCAGGTGTGCCGTGGTCAGTTGAAGAATCCGCAAGTTTCTCTATGAATTTCCCATTACGTGGTAGCGCACTCAGTGCTTACTTGGAAGTTTAGGGGTTTTTTTCGCTGTAAAAAGAACTTTTCTTCCCATGCACGATGGACGCTAATGTTTTTAGTCAGTACTTCCACGCTTTAAACGCTGCACGCTCATACTCTCTCCCACAATCGATATGTGATCCATTATTGATCTGCACACAGCTGTTGTCACTAACGGCGCACTCGCTTACGTCACTGTCGTGAGACATTCTCGCAAAAAATCACGGTTTTAGTAACGCAGTAACGCAGCGTTAGTAACGGTAATCTAATTACCGTTTTTGCAATAGTAATCCCTTACTTTACTCGTTACTTGAAAAAAGCAATCAGATTACAGTACTGCCCATCTCTGCTGGTGACCCCTGTTATAGAGTCTGACAGCTGCAGGGATTATTTACAAATATTCAACTGATTCTATACCAGAATTAAACCAGATCTAAATAAAAAAAATTAATGTCTTTATAAGATAGACCTTCTCAGTATCACTACAAAGATTACCAACAGTGGTCCTCACACCACAGTTTGATATCAGCAAACACCGAGAAAATACATTGATATGACACCACAGCCATGCTATCATTGCAAACACTGATAACATAGCATAAATCGAATTAAATCAGGACTTGATGAGACCTTCTGAGTATCACTAGAAAAATTATAAACAGTCGTCTCCATACCACAGTTTGCTATCAGTAAACACCGACGGCATTTACTGATAGCATACCACAGCCATGTTTTCAGTGTATAAACGGATAGTTTCACATATATTAGCACAGGCATCAATAAAGGACTACTGTATTAAACACTTTTACTAACCTCAGGCAGACGGACAGGTGCTCTGCAGGTGGGATTGAGCTCCTGTAGTTGGTGTCTAGGCAGGCGATGCTTGGACCAACGCGGGACAGCAGTTCCTTAAATTGGGCGAGGGAAAGTGGCCGTCATCCAGATGCAGCTCCAGGAGCAAGTGGTGAAACTCACCAAACTGCTCACGCTTCTGGAGGACCTGATGGACCCAGGTACGGCGAGGACGTCCTTTACGCCGCTGCTCTGCTCTCCACAGTAAATAAAGAAGGGAGACTCTCTCTTCCAACGCTAGATCGACAGCTGCCATCTTGCAAACATACCGTCTGGCACTACTTCCTCCCACATTTCCGCTTGTAATAATTCGCGTTGGACGCGCATCGAGGTGCGAATGTGCACGCGTCAAGCTAGGGGCATCTGGCGCGTTTTGGTCGCGTCTGGTGTGAACACACCGTTATAGTTCTTGTTACATGTGCTAACATGGAGGAGGCAAAGTTTGTGACCTGTACAGCCAGAAACCAATGGGTGATAAAAAATGTTGGGCACCCATGTTTTCTACAGTCATTGCAAAAGACTTTAATCCTGGACCCTCAGATTCAACCTGATGTTCTAACATCTGAGCTACCCAAGATCTGCAAATCAGTTCATAGGTGTAATTTGCTCAGAACATTCCTTAAAAAAGGCAGTTTCTGTGAGATTGCAAGCCTTGATGCTCTGGAAGTTTCATTTGTATGAATTCATCACATCAATATTTATGTTGTAAATGTTTTTTACCTTTTACAGGTTAGGAAATATTGCAAAGTGACTGGTAACATTATTTTATTCACACAAAACATCATCATACCTGAATATTCTTTCCTGCACAGGACATCTATGGCTATATGCAAAGAATAAGTTAAAAAATCGAGTAAACACAGGTGTTTTCAGTGGATAGTTCTACCTTTGAATGAACTAAGACATTATGGAGATCCTTTACTTTTACGAACTTCTGTGATTTGGTTTTTCCTTGACAAAAAAGATGGTGTTGGAGTCCAAACTCGAGTTATGTAAGAAAACAGGGAGTTCACATCTAACCACATTCATTAAAACAATAAAATAAAACCAAATTTAGGGAACAACAACAAAAAAGACCAGTCATATGCATCAGGACTGAACAGCAATTTATTCTATGCTTTTCCAACACTTCTGCACAATATCACCATGCTCAAGACCTGTTGTGAATCCAGGCATTTTTGAACCACAAAAAACACTTTAAGCACAGCACAAGCAAACAAGGATATAATCCCTGTTGTTCCTTTCAGGGCATGTTGAATTGAACATTTTGGCAATCACAAAACTTTGCTAGAAGCAGTTTCTCATAACCATTCGATAACAAAAAGGAATGCCCTATGTTAGAAATGCCATTATGGCAATCAAACAAGAGTCTGACACAAAGCTGAGGGCAGAAACTGACTCCATCAACACTGCAATTAAACACAAACTCTGTAGGACAATGGAAGGCAGAAGATAGTCAAAACACTATAATGTTTTAGTCTAGAGAGATGAATATGAGAGAATGGCCATATGATTTTCTTTCTCCTTGATGATGAGACTCGATCATGAATGTCTGTTAGCTTAGCACAAGTTAGGAAACATGTAGCATAGCTCTGTCCCAATATCATATCCAGTATACTCATAGCTATTAATGCCCAGATAAATCATGAATGGATTTTATGAAAGTTAGATATTCTCTTAATGGGTGAACTTGTTTTTTCTTCCTTATGATTACAAGCTAAATATCCTACCTACCACCATTCTGTATGATGAAAATGTACAAATGCAGTCTGGTTTGGGGATTCCAATCACAACATTTTAGTTGCTCAGACAGTAAGATGCAGTTGGGAATACATTGCATATAAAAGGTGGACACAGCTGCCCTGATGGTACGCACTGGTTTTGGGCATAAGATTATTAAAGCTAGCAAGCTGCTTAGCAAGCTGCATCCATAACCTGTGCACGTGCAATGCTTATTAGTACCAAATAAGAGCCCGAGAAAACAAAGTTTTAAAGAAAATACTAGAATTTCAAACACTCACTTCTTGGATGGCCTGTCCCACAAAGCAGGTGATATTATTTGTCAGATAAATTTCAAGCCCTAAAAGACAAATGCAGGGGAAAGTTCCAATTCAATTCAATTTTATTTATATAGTGCCAAATCACAACAAAAGTCGCCTCAAGGCCTCCAGTGACTAGCATTAGCAGAGGTGATGCCTCAGAGATGCCCTTAACTTCATGCTTCTACAGAATCCAGCACTTTGCCACAGCTCCAAGTTGTGTTCATTTTTAAAACCTGAAGGCTGCAGCTTGATTGTGACAAATAGTTCCACCTACATTTTATGTAGGTTTATGTAGCAATTAAATTAGAAAACACAGTTTTTTTAGTTACAGAAGTGCTGATAACCTTTTAGTCATTACATCTCCACTCGAAGAAAGTGTGACTTGCAACTTTTCCGTTAAGCTAAGCTGCAGGTGGCTTAAGTGTAAGTGATTTTTAATTCTTGTGGATGTGTTGTATTTGACACATTAATGCATGTTCATGTATTGCATGTGAATTTCACCCTAACATTGGAATTTAACTATAACATTACATTTTAACCAGTAGTTGCTGCCTCCACAGTGACAAAGATGGTCAGTATCGTTGGGAAAAAGAAAAAAAAAAAACTTGATTAAAGCAAATATTGCTTTATTGAACAATGGAAATGGCTATCAAAGGAAAGGTTTTGGTAAGAATTTGAGCAATGAAATGAAACAGCATCTTTGTAGCAATCGTGTTGATGTAAAAGTACACATTTAGCACAGTCAGAAAAACAACTTCACAAGTTTACTCATGGGACAGCTTAAGAGCACAATGCACCTTCTCATTCAACTTAAAGAACTTTCAAAAATCGCATTTTATTTTTTTTAGTGCCATCAACTTATATGCTGCAGGCACAATGACAAAGGATATCAATATCATTCCTCTTCTTCAGAGCAGATCTTAAAGAATTAAACTGAAGCTATTACAAGCTGCAGTCATTGAAGTGAAAAACAACTGGGTATCGTTAATGTTACAATAGTTTGTTTTCTTGCCAAGTTGTAATGTGGGTCTAAGTCCTGATACAAACATGGCCTACAGAAAAACACCAATAAACTGTTTACCAGGATGAAGGTGCTCATCTGAAGCATCATTACATTGACCTAATGATGTCCTGAAATGAAGGCTTTTCCGCCACCACACACACATTTCTTTCAGTGCAAATATGAGTATTGTATAAAGACAGAAGGAAAAATCTCAGCATGTCAACCAAGCATTTTCCTCCTCTCTCTGTGCCCCTTTGTTTCCCCAAGAGAAAACCCTCTCGTTGAGTTCAGAGCATAAGCAGCAACACCTGTCACTTTAGTACCTTGTGATTGTGTAACTCCAATGGTGCCGTGACTGTCATTTATTGGTGAAAAGCAGAAACCTGAAATAACAAATGAATATTAGTTTACTGCGACAGCTACCTTCAAGGGTTGGATGATGGAGAAACAACTACCAAAGCATAGAAAAAGCCTGAGAAGAACAAACTGGTTGGGTTAATTCACTGTCCATACAAGAACAGAGTTTTGTATTCCTTCCATTAATTTCCCTGAATTAAAGTTAATCTAGTGAAAGTGTGAGACAATTTGGTTTGAAAAATTGACTGATTAAAAACAAAAAAACCCAAACCCCAGCTAGGATTACAAATAATGCATCGTACATATTTTAAGGTATTGTTAGTCTGATGTCTGATTACAGCAAAGAAAAATAACAAAAAGGCATAATGATGTTAATGAAATTAAAATGTCTCCTTCTCTAAGCACCAATTCAACAGGACAATTAGAGCTGAAAGCTAAACAGAACATTTTGTAGAGGCTAATACACAAGAAATATTGTAGAAATCCAGAGCTGCTGAATTTTTATTTTTATTTTTTTTTGTTTTTGTGGCCTGACTGAAGAAACAATTGATGTTAAGTCTGGAAGAGGTCTGGCATGGCTTTACACTTAGAGGAGACAAGGCACTGACTCACAAATCCACTGCAGTCACTTTCTCCATCTTCCGCGTTACACAGGATAACTTTGCCTTCCCTCTTGAAATCAAAGACGGGGAGCACCTTCTTTGATCTTACCCTGCTTCAACCAAATCAGGCCGATCATCCTGACATTCCCAGGATAAGGTCCTTTGATTTTGCTTAAACCAGCTCCAAGCTTCAGGCCTCCTCTTCACAGGTCCCTAACAGACAGTATTTCATTGGTGTGGAAAAGATAGAAAACATGTTTGTGCTTGGGGATCAAAGTGGAACATCATAGAAGGTTCAAGCCGTCACTATAACCTTTTCTTTTCACAAGTATCCAGAATGTCAAATTGAGCTTTTAGAGTCGCAGATCAAAATGGTAACTGGCTAGCTACAAGTAGCACAAATCCAAAGCTGCAGGTCAAGCTTTCCAGCACTTGGCTTGCAGATTGCTGTTTTTTTGTTTGTTTGTTTTTTATTATTTTCAGCAAAAAGGAACCACCTCTTCTTTAGTTTTCTGTATTATTTATACAATAGATACTCGATTCCAATCGTATTCCCAAGAAAGACTCACATCGTCTTCCGTGATGTTGCTCCGATGCAGCAAAAGAAAAAAAGATACACAAAAAAACAGTTCTCTTGTCTTTAGTTTTCGGCTATAAGTCTAGCACTGTCCAAGAAGTCAGGGCTGTGAGCTGCCCTGACTGTCGGGGTCTGTCCCTGAAGAGCTGGTGTCTGAGTCCGAGTCGTTGTCATTGTGGTTATCCTCTGCCAGGTTTTTCTCTCGCAGTCGTCTGTGGGTTGCGCCGAGACGAGCCAACAAGCCCTGGTAGTCAAAACGGCCACGCTTCTCCCCAAATGGGTCCTGGAAAAAGGCAACATCATGTTTGGAAGAGGAAAAGATTGCCATTTATAATCTTTACTTTCCCGGCTCACACAGTGCTGTCACAAAGTTATGTGATATTGCATTATTGACATTAAGAATGATTTTATACTGAAAGCACTGTTTGATTAGACAAAAATAATCCAACAGAAAAAAAAATAAATACTCACCTGCATGTTCTGCCCCTGCAGATGCAATCTCTCTTTGCAAACGCCCTCGTAGAAATCATAGTATTCAAGGAAGGACTTCTCCATCACACTCCTAAAAATAAACACATTCACACGCTTGATACATTTAGTTAACAGCTAGAAAACAAAGATGGAATGCAAGTGATAAAGGAAAATAGAAAGAAGAAAAATAAAAATAAGGATCTCACAACAAAGCTTCAGGACAAAGAACTTTTCCCTCCAGCATGTCACACACAGCCACTCTCATGGTTTCATGGCGGATGCACTCATTGTAATTCTTACTGTCCCCTGGGTGACGCTCCTGTGAAACAGAATGACATGATGTGATGGATTGGTGGCGACATAAAACTCTCATATATCTATATCTCTTTGTTGACTGTACCTGTTCAAAGCCAGGTTCATTGTGATAGGGGTTCTCCGTCATCAGAGACTGGATTGAGATGAGCACAGATGAGATACTCTGAGCTGGACTCCATGCCGGCCCTGTCCATGTCCTACACGCAAAGATCACAGAAACAGTTTGTTGCATTCTTACAATGGGTTCTTGCATAATTAAAAAAAAAAAAATCTAAATCATTGATGTAAAATGACTTATTTTAAGACCTAAAAATTATGAATCGCAAATAAAGTTGTAAATTTTTGATAACATATTTACAAACAAACCGTGGACATCTGACTAGTTTTAAATTAATAACATGTATTCCTCACTGTGAGGATCTATTTCTTTTTATTATTAATGTGTAAAGGTCAGTGTTCTAATTATGTTCACCACGTCTGGTGAACATAATTAGAGAAAAAGTCCATCTAATGCAGGGGTGGGCAACTCCAGGCCTCGAGGGCCGGTGTCCTGCAGGTTTTAGCTGTATCCTTGATCCAACACAGCTGAATCAAATGGCTAAATTACGTCCACAACATGTTTTGTAGTTCTTTAGAGGCCTGGTAATGAACTAATCATTTGATTCAGGTGTGTTGACCCAGAGTGAGATCTAAAACCTGCAGGTTTTAGATCCTGCAGGATCTAAAACCTGATAGGTTTTAGATCTCAAACCTTGTCAGGTTTTCTGCAGGAGTTGCAGAAAACCTGACAATATTCACGTTTCAGGCGATAAAACCTTTTTCTGTAAAACATGAACATCTGTCTCTCGAGGCCTGGAGTTGCCCATCCATGATCTAATGGCTCAGACCAAGGATTTGTCCACTGTCACAAACAGACAATATCCAGCTTTTTGTCTCAAGTGTCTGACCAATAATATTGGACTAGCACATGCCTAATGTACGAGTATTCGACAGACAACAATCCCTACAAATAAGTATTTTAAGTGTTTTTCCTTTTCCTTTTAGATTTTGGGTTGCTAGTTAGACAAAACAAGGCATTCTGAGATATTACTTTGAACATCGAGTTTTAACTATAACTAATTCGAGGTTTTGCTAGTTTACTCACTGATCACTTGCTGGTCTAAAAATAACCTCTGCATTGGGCAATGTTTTTGTTTGGGCATTTTTGCCCATGTAGAGTGCAAATTGAATATGTTGACCCAGACCTTTTCCTTTTTTTTTTTTTTTTTTTTTTTT